GAAACAGCAATTTATGCACCAAACTACATTTTATGTTATCCCAACATTTATAGGAAATGTAACCCAATGTCCTCTTGTATAGTTTTACGCACTCTATATACATGTACAAACCTTCCGTATTTTTTTTTATTGTGACGTCACAATCTACCAAAACAAATGATGATGCAACAGAAGAATAATAATCCACACAATTTATGGACGACTTTATTAACCATAAAAATAATGTTATTTACTGACTAAATCTTAAGTTAGAGGAAACGTAAATTGATTATATCTTGTATAAAGTACCATTGTTAAGCAAGTCCGCATATGTGCAAAACACTCCGCATTTTATTTTGTATATAGCAACGCCATCCGCATTTTTTGTGTATATAGCAACGTCATCCGCATTTTTTACTTCAGTAGATAAATTTACATGCTTGATTGTTCTGATGACGACCGTCACAGGTCGAAACCGGTCAACAAAATAAATTTACTGCTGCATTCTCACGAAGTGTTGGTGATCTGTTTTATACTTTTAAGTCTCTTAATAAGTGAACGATCAAAACTTTTTGTTTTGTATCATTTTGTATCTTTGTGTGACAACTTTACCATACTCAGTATATGAAAATAAGAAAAAATTAATATAGGTTGCACATACAAGTAATTAACATACTTTAAATATTTAAGAAAAGTAAAAAAAAAATCGGAGTATTCAATATTCATTTTAGTTAAATTATTTATGTCAATTCGGTAATATCATCTTGTAAGCCCTGTAATGAAAGTATCTTTATATGCCAAAAGAAAAACAGCAAATACAATTTATCATTGAGTCAAATGCTGACTGACGTTTCTGATCCCAACTCTTGACCATCCTCCATTTTTCTCCCTAATTCTAGACACATTCTTAGCCAATATATATTTGTTATCTACATGTACCTCCCAACCATTTATAGCTGTCTCTACAGGTAATAAACTTGCTTGAAGTGAATTTTCAGCAATCTAACAAATAATTTTAATCAAGGGAGTTTATCACTTGTAGAGACGACTATAGAGGCTTTGGAGAATAAAAGTTAAAGAGTATATGATTATTATAAATTATGAATGAAGATGGTGTTGAAGAAGGACATTGAATTGCTACATTAAATTTATTAACTCTCTCATAATTTCATAAACCTTTTCCCTGAATTAGTGCGCTTTAGCGCATATTTAAACTGTTTACTAGACATCTATTTGTACATGTATATTTCGATATAATTTAATTTTAGTTGTAACACGTCATTTGTTCTGAAAAAAAAAACGAATTTTGGCATTATAAATTTGGTACATATCCTAAATTGGTACATATGTCCAGAGGTCAATGTTCTGGTACTCACAGAAATGTCTTGTTGCAATGATATACATCTCCAAAATGAAAGCCATAGCCCCATCTACTCCAAAGATATGGCCAAGGTTAAAGTTTTTGCGAACTAACAGACAAACAATGCAAATACTATATATACCCCTGAATCTTCGATTAGGGGGTAGAAAAAAAGACTTAACGCTAATTGAAGCTCTTTTATTTAAGAAAAATATTTAGCTCAACATTTAATTCAACGAAAATAATGGGCTAATAAAATATTATGAATTATTTGGCCTCAGGGTTAGGAGTTCTGGTGTTAGGGCGGGCCTCTATTGAAAAATTATATAGTGAAAATACATTAAATCTTTGAAAATCTTCTCTGCTCCTGGGTAATAAGCAAATGAACTATATAGTAATGAGGAGCAAGGGCCCTTTTTCCAGAATTGTGAATTTCAAGGCCCCTGGGTCAGGGGTACCATAGAGGGGGGGGGGGCTCTACTTATATACTGAAAATTAATTAATTGTTTGAAATCGGCTCCTTGGTATTATTCAAACATTTTGATAAGCGAGGGTGTCTTTTCAAAAATTGTGCAATGTACGGAAACTAAGAAATAGGTTCATGTGTGGTAGGGGCACTACTGATTATTTCTGAATATTACTGATAAGTTGATATGCAGTTTTTGTTCCCCTACTCTGCCTATGGGTATTAAGTAACCAAACTTAGCAATTGCTAAGTGTATAGTTATAATAAGCAATGGTGTCTCTTTTAAAATTGTGAATACCATAGCATCAAGCTTAAAACATGAACCAATTCAGTCATTTGAAAGTTGTTGCATGATGCTCAGGTGACTTATAAGGCCCTTGGGCTTCTTGTTTAGTAAAGTTGTTTCGAGTAAACATATTGTTGCATTGTGTGTATAATGTACTTATATTCAGTAGTAATGATGCTTCGTAAGCATTGTAGTAAGTAAGTAGTAATTCTGTAATCGGAAGTATGTTCAAAATAGTAACAATATGTCAGTAGCATTGTAGTAATTGTTTGTACGGTAGTAAGTTGAATACTTATGTGTATTCTTCGTATAATAAAAATGGCCATGCTAAAGTGTGAAAAGTAAGTAGAGTATTAAGTATATGAGTAAAATATGTATAGGAAAATACGCATATTTAGCTAGGATTGTTTATAAAGAGGAAGTATGTGTACATAACTTAAACATATTGTTGCATTGTGTGTATAATGTATACTTATATTCAGTAGTAATGATGCTTCGTAAGCATTGTAGTAAGTAAGTAGTAATTCTGTAATCGGAAGTATGTTCAAAATAGTAACAATATGTCAGTAGCATTACAATATGTTATTGATAAACATTCCATAGATCCTAGTTAGACGTAAGAAGTAAAAGTAGAGATTTATGGTTATATACAGTCGGAAGGACCAGACGAGGCTTTCCACACTACCCATACAATACGCCACGTGTGAGTCCGGGACGGAAGTGGCGCCATTACGGACCACTGCGCCATTCTGAACCAATGAACCAGTCCACAGTCATATAACATAGAAACTTTTAACTTGAAACTTTTAATATAACAAACAAATTTTTAAAAAAAAATTATTGATGTAAGAAGTAATAAATGTTGTAAATATATTTTAAGCATCCTTTTCTTATTTCTGACAAAGATCTGTGAAAGGGCGAAAGGGGCGAAAGTAAAACGGGGGCGAAAATTTCCCTGTATACAGTATTACCAAGGTAAAAATGTGTGGAGTTTTTTAGCTCACCTGAGCCGAAGGCTCAAGTGAGCTTTTCTGATCACATTTTGTCCGTCGTCCGTCTGTCTGTCTGTCCGTCTGTCCGTCTGTAAACTTTTCACATTTTCGACTTCTTCTCAGGAACCACTGGGCCAATTTTGACCAAACTTGGTACAAAGCATCCTTGGGTAAAGGGAAATTTAAATTGTTAAAATGAAGGGACATATCCCCTCGCAAGGGGAGATAATCAAGAAAAGACAAAAATAGGGTTGGGTCATTAAAAAATCTTCTTCTCAAGAACCACTGGGCCAGTAAAGCTGAAACTTATGTGGAAGCATCCTGGGGTAGTGTAGATTGTAAATTGTTCAAATCATGACCCCCGGGGGAAGGGCGGGGCCACAATGGGGAATCAAAGTTTTATATAGAAATATATAGGAAAAATCTTTGAAAATCTTCTTCTCAAGAACCACTGGGCCAGAAAAGCTGAATCTTATGTGGAAGCATCCTGATATAGTGTAGATTCTAAATTGTTCAAATAATGGCCCCCGGGGGAAGGGTGGGGCCACAATGGGGAATCAAAGTTTTATATAGAAATATATAGGAAAAATCTTTGAAAATCTTCTTCTCAAGAACCACAGGGCCAGAATAGCTGAAACTTATGTGGAAGCATCCTGGTGTAGTGTAGATTCTAAATTGTTCAAATCATGACCCCCGGGAGAAGGGCGGGGCCACAATGGGGTATCAAAGTTTTACATAAAAATATATAGGAAAAATCTTTGAAAATCTTCTGCTCAAGAACCACTGGGCCAGAAAAGCTGAAACTTATGTGGAAGCATCCTGGTATAATGTAGATTCTAAATTGTTCAAATAATGACCCCCGGGGGAAGGGCGGGGCCACAATGGGGAATCAAAGTTTTATATAGAAATATATAGGAAAAATCTTTGAACATCTTCTTCTCAAGAACCACTGGGCCAGAAAAGCTGAAACATATGTGCCCATGGAAGGATCATGGGGTAGTGTAGATTTCAAAATGTCTAAATTATGATCAGTGGGGGTAGGGTGGGGATGCACTATGTATAACAAGGGGGAAATCTGGTAAAGAACAGAATGGTCAAAGCTTCTCAGGTGAGCGATGTGGCCCATGGGCCTCTTGTTTGTAAATGTTGGTTAAACTCCAAGGTCAAAGCCAAACTTGGTGGTAACCAAAGAAAGGTCTTGTCACAAGGAATGCACCTGTGAAATATGAAAGCCACATAGCCCTTACCACTCAAAATTTATGGGCAAGATAAGTTTTAACTAACAAACAGACGGACAGACATGGCTAAAAGAATACACCCCCCGAAACTTCGTTTACAGGGTCATAAAAATGCATTTCATGTGTGATCAACATTTTGCATAGAAATATAAAGGGGGAAATATGTTGATAAGAACAGAAGGTGAGCGTTGTGGCCCAAAGACTTGTTTATTTTGCAGTGAAATTTTAAACTAAAGGTACTGTGAGCACTGAAAGTTTCAACTATTCAGTACGTAGTAAAGGAGGGGTTGCGGATAAGGATATGTACCCTTCAATATTACAGAAAGAATGGTAAATATATCCATATTTGGCTGTGGGAATCCAAAACATGGATCAAAATGTAAAATAGAAAGTGCACAATGGTACTATATAACACAGATTCTGTAAAAGTCTCATGAAATTTCATTCAGTTGTATTAGAGGATTTACGGATAAGAGATGGGTTACCCAAATCATAAAGCTTGGAGGGATACCCTTATTACTGTATTCCCCCTGCGTTTCAAGCGGCGGTATGAAAAATGTTTGAATTTACTTTCTTTTTTATAGTACATCGTTTTTCACCGTATACTGTTTTCTCAATTAATGCTTTGAGTGCGGAGATTGATTGATTTCCTCACCATCTGATATTAAATACTTTTTAGGAGAGAAAAGTATTGGAAACATATGGAAAGACCATTGTAAAAACACAGAGGTATTGCAAGATTATGCATCGGCAATGCAGAAACTCGCCACGGTGCACTGGGGACCTCAGCAATTGGAACGGATCCAATGGTGCAGAAAGACATTGCTAGAGTACTTCAAAAGTGGTGGATTGAAGAAATGCATTGAGAAAGATTACAAAAGACTCAAAAGGTACCGTGCTCTAAATGTTTGTAATATAAAACTCAAAAGGTACCATGCTATAATGGTTCATAACAAAGGACTCAAAGGTACCATGCTTTAAATGTTCATTACAGAGAACTCAGAAGATACCGTGCCATAAATGTTCATAACAAAAGACTCAAAATGTGCTCTCAATGTTCATTCGCCTTTAATGTTGCTGTGATCAACATTGATCGTTTACGATTTTTTAATTTGAAGTTTGGGAAGCTTATGTGATACCCTCGGCATCGTAGTAGGCGCCCCAGGTTAAGGTTTTTGAAGGAGTTTTCTTTTCAAGTACTTCTATGATCTATATTGATCAGACATGCATGGAAAATGCTTCTAATGCATGTGTTTCATTGTACCAGATGAGGTTTCAGATGCTGCAATATCAGCAAAGGAATGACAATAATAATGGAGTAGTTTTTGGAGCAGATTAACATTTTTTGTTCAGTTTTTGATGTAGGTCTTATTTCCAAGTAATTATTAGCCTTATAGAGACTATAAGACTGAACATGGATGATACATATATAAGGTTCCACACTACCAGGCTTGCTTCGGATGCTGGATCTGACCTACATTTTCATGTTGAGTGAGCAGGTTAATGTTTTTGGTGCGGTCTCATTTCCAAGTAGCTATGAGTCCTGTGATGACCAAACTTGCATTGATGTTACATCTAAGGATGGACACTACCAGGCATGCTTCGGATGCTGTAGGTATATATCCTATGTTTGAACAAACATGCATGAATGATACATCTAAGGATGCAAACTAATTGACTTGCTTCAGATGCGGGATTGGACATGTTCCAGATAACTGCTCAGGTTTAAGTTATGTGTGCAGTTATATCACTGAGGAACTAGAAAGCCAATATTAACCAAAGTTGCATGGATGATGCATCAAGGGATGGGCAATCTCAAACTTGCTTCAGGTGCTGGATTTGAATAACATTTTCTTGATGGTCGACTAGTTTGAAGTTTTGGATATATTTATTTTTAAGTAACTGCAAGCCCTATCAGATCAGAATTGCTTTTTTGGATGTAAACGTCTAGAATGTTAGTACTGTTAGTTAATTTTGGCACTTTGCCTCACTTAAGGGACTCCGACCCTCAGCCAGGAAGGACAACTCATTAATTTATAATTTAATTCAAAAAGTCTTTAAATTTAGCTTGAAAATTAAATATTTTCATGCAACAATTTTCATTATATGCCTCTCAACGTGCTTCAGGGTTCTTTGCAAAGCTCCATGCATAAATCACTTCTACTTTCATATCATGTTTATAATAACATTGGTGTCTAAAAATGCTTTTTCGGGATAAAAATTTCTACTTTTGATTAGACCTTTCTGAGAAGTTCAAAGAACCTTGAAGCACAATGAGAGGCATATAATGAAAATCATTGCATGAAAAGATTTAATTTTCAAGCTTCATTTAAAGACTATTTGAATTAAATTATAAATTAAAGAGTTGTCCTTCCTGGCTGAGGGTCGGAGTCCCTTAAGGACAACGTTTGTTGAGGAGAGCTCTGTAATCTCCCATTACCTCAGTTAATTTTTAATGCCAGTGAAAACTTTTTCAAAATAAGATTTAGAAATACATGTTTTTACTGTATAATCACATTTTTGTACTGTAAAATCACATTTTAAAAGGGTGTTTTTTATGTGGCTAAAATACTAGGGTTTGTGGCAGATTGCAAGTAAAGAATCGTTGAATAAGGGTTGTTACATTTTTTGTTGGATTTGAAATAGTAGGATTCGTCATACTGTTGCCGTTCAGGGGTTTTCTCCCTTGAGACAACTTGTGGGTCTCCCAATTCTGTATATTGGACAAAGAACTATGAGTCAGGATTAAAGTTTATAAAAATTTATTATTGTTTGTTGTATTTAATTTGCACAACCTCTTTGAATATTTATCCCTATTTCTTACTCCCGTAGAAATATTGTTTCTCTCCCAGAATGGGAATAAAATATTCTCAAATGGGAGATTTATGTTTTAGGGAATAAAATGTAAATTTACAAAAGCATATAATTATTTATCTTTTCCCAAAATATTGAGAGTTCTTTGCTATACAATTATATTATAGTCAGGTATAGTTATGGGAGAGTTATTTTACCTCCCACTAATTTTCTCCTACAGGCTAATTCAATATAAATAGTAAAAAGTAATAATAAAATATGTTACAAAATTCATCAGCTCCCAAAAATTAATTAATAAATTATGTAATGACAATTACCCAACGACTATCACTCCCAGCCATGCTGGCGATATGATTCTGGCAGTCGTACTTACTCTAACCTATTCTAAACCCATTCTGACTGTCAGTCGATTTGCGCTGGCTTATATTGGCATCGGGCTCGATTGTCGTGACGTCACGACAAAGCGAAAATACCCGCCATGTTTGTTAGTTGATATGCTGCCATGCCGATCGAACCGACGAAAGGAAACACGCACCCTAGGGCGCGGATAATTACTGCGGGAAACATTGATAATATTTATCGATGATGAACTTTGTAAGCCTAAACAAAACAATCTTAAACAGTACAAGCATGACCTGGGAATTAAAGACGTCGAGGAAATTCGGGTGTCACTAATTACCGACCTCGTCCCAATTATGTACTTGGTAAATATATAATTGTTAATGGAATTAAACATACAAATAACGAAACATATTTTGTCGTTTTGTAGTCCAGTATATTGCAGGGAGTTCTTGTCTAACTTGTACTCTGTATTTCCACAGAAAATGTTACTCATAGTAACGGGAATAATTACGGAACCGTAACAATACCTCAAAATCAATGAAATTTTAACCCCCCAAAATAAGTACACGTTTCAACAATAAACCTTACTAAAACGTACTTGTTATAACACCCCTACTATTGTTATTGTGATTTAAATTCAAGACACGTGATTTAGGTTGATGTATTCACAGGTTATAGGATAGAACCGGTTTTATAAATAAAATTGGAATTAAACAGGAAATTGTTATAGTCTTTTTATACGCCCGTCTTAAGACGGGACGTATTATGTTATAGGCTTCGTGTCCGTCCGTCTGTCCGTCCGTCCGTCTGTCCGTCTGTCTGTTAGCTTTTTCGTTTCCGGCTCATAACTTTAATACTACTAGGCCTAGGATTATCAAACTTTGTCATCTGATGCATCTTGGGTAGAAGGTGTGTCGCGCATAAAAAGTAGGTCGCTCTGACCTTTAATTAAGAAGTTATAGCCAAATATGGAAAAATCCTTTCCGGCCCATAACTAGAAAACCATAAGACCTACAATCATCAAACTTGGCCAGTTTATGCATCTTAGGTAGAAGGTGTGTCGCGACCTATTTCAAGGTCACTGTGACCTTTAATTTAAGTGAATTTTTTTTTTAAAAATGTGTCTTTTTACTATTCATTTACACATCCCAAATAATGTAAGAGTATTGCACTGTTCTTATTAAAAAAGTGTTAAATCAAGAAAATACTTATTTTTTTTAAGCATATACTTGACAGCAATCTAAAACAAATATAATGTATGTTAGAGAAATCCCATGTCTCCCATGAGTGTAATTATCAAGCACTGGTCAAGAAGAATTTTGATAACAGAAAATTGCATGTCAAATTAGAGAGAAATTAATGGGTTTTGAGTGCGAGGAGTTAACTGACAGAGCATTGGCATTATCTATATCCCTTGAGAATTGGGCAAATGGATAAGCCTGTTTGATTAAAAATAGCTCTTGTTGACTAGCTTAAGTTTTGAAATGAATTTGATGAAAAGTAATTAAAACTATTTTGATATTGCATAATAGACTAATCTGATATTATGTAATATTATTAATTTAAAAACTAATTTTATGGGGTGGGGTTGAATCAGCATGTCCATATGAATTACATACTAGAACCTGTCGGACATTAAATTTCAACCAAAAAAAAAAAAATCTGAGAGTATTTTATATGTTTTTAAAAAAAATTATAGTAGATAGTGCAGACCCATTCATCTCTTGGTAGTAATGAGTAGACAAGCATCCAGTTAAAGATTAATTAATGAGTTCAATGTAGGAAGGCTAGCTGTCTCAGTCGCTCTGATTAAGCAGCCCTTTGGGGATTAGACAGAAGAACTGCTGGTCAGTTATAACATATGTCATTTGATGGCCAGCCTTTTTTTTCAAAATTAATTTGGTATAGATTAAGTTGTTAAGACTAATTTGATGATGGGCATTTGACAAGGTCTAACACAACCAGCACAGAAATCTATCAGTGATGTAATATTTATTATAATTGATGCCTACATCACAGGGGATGGATAAATATTTTAAGGAATGGAAAAATCATTGAAATCTTAAAATCAAGGTTGATGTGATTTTTTTGCACCTAAACTGTTCAAGAAAATTGGTAATTTTTTGACGGGCGTATCATGTCGTGGCGCGGCACTTTATTTTAAACATGCCATGTGAAAAATGTTATTCCAGACCTTTCTTAAAGACTCTCATGATTTTCAACAGAAAAGGGTGGTTAAAGGGGGGGGGGTTAAAATTACAATATATATTATCATAATTTACGGCGAAAATTAGATCACACTAGCGACTGATACGCTGGTTAAAAAATATGTATAATATCATTTACACTGACAGTCTTTGTTACAGAATGTAGCCTTATATAGCAATCGTTGAATGAATAGCAGCGTTTAAGACAAACACATGCTTACATTTAACTTCGAACACATGGTTCAGGTCAATCTATATCATATCAGTGGAGTGTCAAAAGTATGTTTTTTTTTTAACAAAATACAAGATTAGAAACTATGAAAGATGTCTCGGGCGTTTTTAATTTGTTGTTAATTAGAAAAAATATGTTTAATAAAGTGAAGTTTGCATCAAGTTCAAGCTCAGAACGGCAGCGTTTCAAGGGTAAGGAAAACGAGCAGCATCTCTTATGCATTTAAATGGACAAAACTTGGTAAACATAACTATACTGGTGATCACGTGTTTTGGCCTGTGAATCCACATGACAATTGTATTCACCGATAGTACAACAAAGGAATACAGACACAAATTGCCTTGCAGCATGACTAAGAGAAACCTAGACTTCCGCCATTTATTTAA